GTGTGTGTGTGAGAGAGAGAGAGAGAGAGAGAGAGAGAGAGAGAGAGAGACTTTATTATATTACACAATTAAGAGACTTTTGAGCATGTGGATTTACTATCAAGTGATTTATCAAAGTATAAAAATGGCAGACAACATGGAATGGATAATAGTCCAGAATTTATTAAGTTTCCATAAATTTTTGATAATTATAATTAAGGTATCTTTCTCAGCTGTTCATAGGGAAAGAATAAGATCAGGGCTCAGAAGAAAGTTGCAGACTGGCCTCCACACAGAGAGAAAAGGAGATTTAGAGGGAATGGATTTGCATTCTTCAAGGAGGCTGAGGCTTCCAAAGTTGTGATAGCTTAAGAGTAAGGTGGGAGCTTTTGCCCACATGGCAACATTTGTGGGACACAAGTACAGTTGTTGGATGTTGTTCATTTGTCTAGTTGACCAGGAGTAGTCCTTGCAGCAGCTGGCCTAACAGAAGCAGGGCTGGCAGCAGCTGGCCTAACAGCACCAGGGCTGGCAGCAGCTGCTTACACAATTTGGTTTGCAGCAGGTGATTTCACAGCAGCTGGGTTGGCAGCAGCTGCTCACACAGGTTGGCTTACAGCAGGTGGTCTTGTAGCAGTTAGTTTCACAGCAGCAGGGCTGGCAGCAGCTGGTCCCACAGGTTGGTTTGCAATAGGTGGTCCTGCAGCAGGTGGTTTTGCAGCAGCAGGGCTGGCAGCAGGGTTGGCAGCAGTTGCCCACACAGGTTGGCTTACAGTACATGATCTTGTAGCAGGTAGTCTCACAGCAGCAGGGCTGGCAGCAGGGCTGGCAGCAGGGCTGGCAGCAGCTGCTCACACAGGTTGGCTTACAGCAGGTGGTCCTGCAGCAGGTGGTATCACAGCAGCTGGGCTGACAGCAGGGCTCACAGCAGCTGTTCACACAGGTTGGCTTACAGCAGGTGGTCCTGCAGCAGGTGGTATCACAGCAGCTGGGCTGACAGCAGGGCTGACAGCAGGGCTGACAACAGGGCTGGCAGCAGGGCTCACAGCAGCTGCTCACACAGGTTGGCTTACAGCAGGTGGTCCTGCAGCAGGTGGTATCACAGCAGCTGGGCTGACAGCAGGGCTGACAGCAGGGCTGACAACAGGGCTGGCAGCAGGGCTCACAGCAGCTGCTCACACAGGTTGGCTTACAGCAGGTGGTCCTGCAGCAGGTGGTATCACAGCAGCTGGGCTGACAGCAGGGCTGACAGCAGGGCTGACAACAGGGCTGGCAGCAGGGCTCACAGCAGCTGCTCACACAGGTTGGCTTACAGCAGGTGGTCCTGCAGCAGGTGGTCCTACAGCAGATAGGCTGGCAGCAAGGGGAACAGCAGCAGTTGGTCATGGTGTCAGGTGTGGTTGGAGGGTTCTCCTTGTTAACAAGTGAGTTTTCTACAGTATGGCAAGTTCTTGCATCTGGACCTTTTATATGTCAGGCCTTTAAGGTTTGAACCAATCAGCAGGGCTTTTCCTTGTTGTTGTTTATTCCATTTCCATATTCACTTTATGTTTCATAAGGAAGTGCTTCTCAATGCTATGCATCATTGGAAAGTTTATTCTGATTCTTTTTTCATAATCACTCATAGGAAGTCTTTCAATGATGGGAGACGGGGAAGGGTATTGCACTGCCAGTCTCACTGTATCCTGGGTCATCATCTGGTCATGTGGTAGCCCTTGTGTCTTAGGAGAGCAAGAGTATTGGTTTTTCTACATTTTGTCTCTCCTTTGTAGGAAGATTTTTGGGCTGCCAGCTGACAATAAATGACATAGAGTCTTATTAATTATGAAATCTTGACCTTAGCTGAGGCTTGTTTCTAACTATGTCTTATAAATTAAATTTACCTATTTCTGTTAATCTACCTGCTATCACATGGTCATGAGTTTTTCTCTCTTTCGGCTAGTCTGCTTTCTCTATGTCTGGCTGGCAACACTGCCTTCCTTCTTTCCTGAGAAACCTCAGTCCCCAGAAGTCCTGCCTCACCTCTTGCTGCCTAACTATTGGCCATTCCAATATTATTAAACCAACCACAGTGATATGTATTCACACAGTGTAAATGATTATTCTGCAAAAGTTCTCAGCTTATGAAGTATCTGCACAATGGTTGTCTGTCCTGGTACACACAAAGTCCTCTCTTTGGGTTAGCCCAGACATCTGTTTCTTTACCAGCTCCTCCACCTATGTGTCTCCAAGGCACTTGGGATAAAGTTATCTGATTTATTATGTTCCATGCCATGCAACCCTAGAGCACAATCGTGGAAGTGGAAATACATTAGAGTAAGAATATATCAAAGTGTGTGTGTGTGTGTGTGTGTGTGTGTGTGTGTGTGTGTTGTTCCTGATTTTCCCTTTTCTGATGGTCTCAGTATGGAGACCATGTTAAGATTTCTGCTATATAACAATCTACTGAGGCAAACCTTAGCATTCAGGTAACTGCTGATGGGTAGCAGGTTCAGTGATCATAGTTTTCTTTCTCTGTCTTTTCTCTCTCCTTTTTTTCTGGCTGGCCTGTCCGTCTGTCTTACTACCTCATCTTTCAATCCCTTCTTTATTTTCTTCCTTTATTGCTTTTCTTTGTGTGCAGTGATGGATTTAAGATAAATTGAAATAGTTCCCAATGATGCAAATATATTTAAACATGTCAACTCGACTATACATTTGGAAATGAAATAAATAATGTTGTGATGGAAAGAGTATCACAAAGTGAACATGTCTGTGTTGTTGTTAATCAGGTAAGAAATAAAAATTTGTCCATTTAAAAAAAATCTCATCTTTTCATTGTTTTTCAGGTAGAGACTATCACTCTTTATCAACTTCTCTTTTCAGCCAGTGATACCACATTTGGCTTCTTTTCCCTTTTGCAAATGAAAAGTATAATTGGCTTCCCCATTTAGCTTATGATTGTGGAATCTCTCACTGTAATGACCTATTATTTATTTTTCTCTTTGGACAATATTCTCCCCTTGAATGTATTTGACACAATCTATGTGTGGTTTTCCTTTTAGAAAAATGCAACTTGTTTGCAGCTTGAGTAACTTAAAATTGATGATGTGATAAAAACTTTATGTGGCACTTTTGGGAAGTAGAGCTCAACATGTGTGTTGAGTTTGTAGCTATGTGGATGATTGATTATAGCATTCCATTTTGCAGTGTTTATTCCTTTGTATGTTTTTAGCTACACTGCATGCATAGCAATAGAATTTACATTTCAAATAAAACCATAATGAAATGCTTTGATATTATTTTAAGCAAAAAAAAAAGAAAAAAGAAAAGAAAATTGCTTCAGGTTACAGAGCCCTCCACACCCTCTGAACACATTTATGACAATGTAACTTCTTCCTAAATGGGTCAATGTGACACATGTCTGACCTATATTTGACTAGATTATTCTTAGACATTTAATTTTTCTGCTACTGAATGTGTTGTAATTAAAAACCTCACATCTACTGCTTCTGAAATGTAGAAATGTGAATTTTTATTAGCATTTATTAATTTTAGAAAATAATATATTGAATTGTGCCATCTTCCTGCTGTGCATAGTACATTCTGATCACACTCACTCTCGACATAATGACCTCCGTTACAGTCACTGCTGCCTCACTCAGGTCTGTTTTTATCCCCTGTTATGATCATGTCAGTTTTTCTTCAAATTTCCATATCCAATTCTTGCCATTCCAAGTCTTGTTTATTTCACCTAATATGGCAACTCCATTTCCAACATTTGCATGCAAATCAAGTTATTCCTTGAGAAAGAATTAAATCAATCCATTAAATGTTACACATTTTATCTATTCATTAAATCCCTTGATGGGCTCTTGCACTGATTTTATAACCTGATTAAAGTAATAGTCACTTGATGGCCTTGGAGGCAGACATTTCTCCAGTGTATATCTATTTTGGTTTCTTTAGGTGCATACAGAGGGATAATGTAGCTGGATCATGGGGCAGTTTTATTTTTATCTTTTGAGGAAACTCCAAACTGATTTCCATAGGTATTATGCCAATTAACATTCTCACCAACACTGAAAAGTTTCCTTTTTTCTCCCTTTGTCCTAAGTGTTTATTATTTATTTCCTTGATGGCAGCCTCCTGACTGGGGTGAGATGGAATTTCATAGGCAGTTCTGATTTGCATTTCTCTGATGACTACTTCTATTAATTATTTTTCATGAATTTTCTGAAAAATTTGTACCGTTTTTGAAAATTTTCAGATCTCTGCGCTACTTATGGATTGGGTTGCTTTCAGTTTTGTCATTAATTTTTAATCTCTTTGTATTTTTGGCAAAGTCCCCTGGATGAGTAGCTGGGAATGGGTTTTCTTCTGTTTTTCCATTTTGTTTGATGTCTTTTACTCTGTTCATTGTTTCCTTATTTGTGAAGAAGCTATTTAATTTGATTCAGTTACATCTGTCATTTCTTGTTGTTCCTGTCTAATCTATTGAAGAACTGTTGAGAGTTTTATTGCCTGTGCCCATACCATGTTGTGTTTCTTCAATGACTTTTTTTTTGCATCTTTTGATATCTTCTTTAAATCTGTCTTTCAGCATGTTAAAGTTTCCTTTGCCCTGTCTTTCCACATTCTTAGTGAAGTCCATTAATAAGAACTTCTTGTGTTCTGAGCTATAGTGAATGGGTTTTCCTCACTTCCTTTACAGTGTGTCCCAATCCACAGGAGGTCAACCTGGGGCAAGAGAGTCAGGGATAGGGAATGGGGACAAGAGACTCAGAAAGAATGACCACAAGACAGGATTCTGATCAAGTGGCAAACTTTATTTTTCTCAGGCTAGCTTATATAGTCAGTAGAGCAGGATATGGGGAGGGATAGAATGGGGTGTTTGTGCACCAGGTGTTAGTATAGGCAGGATATTAGGAAACCACAAAGAGAGGATGTTTGACAGGGTAAAGAGTTTATGAGTAAGAGGTCCAGCAAGGGTTGCTTAGGTGACTGAGCCTGTGGGTGGAGGACTGGATCAAGTTGTTTCTTTTCTTGAGCTGAGGTTCTAAGGAGCTGCTATGTAAAGGTTAATATACAACTATGTGGCCAGCTAAGCATGTCCTAGGATCTCATGGCAAGCCCTGAGATCTTTGGCATCCAACAACAGTGGGTTCATTATTGCTATGGAAGCTCTTGATTATTATATGGGTGATAGTGTGGACCCTTGTCTCAGTCCAGATTTAAGAAAGAGGAAATGCTCTTAAAACAGTAACAATTGGGATAGTTCAGTGCTCCACTCTCAGATTTTAGCACAATATCATAGATTATCAAAGTAAACCTCAGCAAAGACTTTAGGGTTAAATTCTACCATATGTCAGCTGGACCTAATAGATATATACAGAATATTCCACCCCACACATAAGGAATGCTCATTCATTTCAGCAGCCCATGGGATTTTCCCCAAAATTGATAACATCATAGGCCACCAAGCAAGCCTTACCAGATACAAAAAGGGAGAAAATTCTTTGTGTCCTATCAGACTGCAGTGGAATGAAAGTAGAAACCAAGAAGAGCAGGAGCATATATGGAAACTAGATGAACAAATGGCTCATTGATGAAAAAGGAAAGAAATTAAATTTTTGTAGACAAAATTACTATCAATGGATAGGATTTTCTCTCTTCTGGGGAACAGTTAATGCATTCATAAAAGTTTACTTCTATAAGGTTTCCACACACAGAACCCCATCGAAGTCTCAAGTAAACAACCTAATTATTCTCCAGAACACTTTAGAAGAAACAATAAGTAACTAATCTAAAATTTAGTAAATGGCAAGATATAGTAAAAACTAGGGCAGAAACAATTAGATAGAGACTAAAAGAGCAATATACAGAATCAACCAACAAAGAACTTGTTCTTTGAAAAAGCTTCAGAAGATTGACAGACCATGGCCCAGTTCATCAAAAATAAAGAATGAGAATATCAAAATGAATAAAATCTGAAAAGAAATGGAGAAGGTATAATAGATCCCAGTGAAATTCAGATCATTAGGAAATAGTGCAATAATTCGTTTCCCAAAGCTGGAAACTTAGATAAAATGGATACATTTCTACATATATATGGCCTAACTGAAATAATACAGAACAGACCCATAATGAACAATGAGATTGATGCAATAATTAAATATCTTCTCACAAAGAGAAGCACAGAACATTGTCTATGTTGAATTATATCAATTTTTAGGGATGTCCTAATAACAATGTTTTTCAAACTCATTTATGAACTAAAAAGGGGAAGGAGCAGTACCAAATCCATCCTGCGGAGCCAGTATCATCCTGATGCCGAACCCAGAGAGGTACAATTAAAAACAAATTGATAGGTCTATTTTCCAGGAACATAGACACAATATGATGACTCTACTGCCACTGTCCTTCAAACTGAACTCTAGAATACCCTGAAAACAGCATATATCAAGAATAAGCAAGTCTACCAGGGATGGTGGCACCTTTATTCTCAGTACTTGGTTGGGAGTCAGAGGCAGGTGGATCATTGTGAGTTTTTAGTCAGCCTGGTCTACACAGTTAGACCCTTTCTCAAAAACAACAACATCATGAACAACAGTAACAACCAAGACCAAGTAGATTTCATCCAAGGAATACAAGATTGGTTCAACATGGAAATCAATAAAAGCAATTCATCATATGACCAATCTTAAGGATAGAAATCCCATGATCATACAGAAAAGGTACAAAAGGAATTTGATAAGTTCAAAATATTTTCATAATAGTAACCCTGGAGAAATTAGGAATAGATGGACCCTATTCCAAAAACTTAGGCTAGAAAACAAACATAATTAGTGTTATATTAGACAGGGAAAACAGGACTAACTTCCCTCCTTTCATTTTTTTCTTCCCCACCCATACCCTGAGCAGGCAGCCTTCATTTGCTCATTGCTGGGGTGCTCTTTTGCCCTCTCCTCATCTATCAACATCTTTGTACTTGTTGACATCTTCATTCATGTGTCACTACACCCCACTGACTCCAAACTCAATGTTGACTGACAAGAAAACATCCTATGAAGCTCTGAAGGAAATTTTGTCTTTTCTAGAGGTAAGCAGCAGAAGGGAGAAGTGAATGGTGAATTAGTCCCCATCCAAACAAAGAATGAGACCATTGTGAAGACAAAGGGAGAAAAGGGAGTTCAGGCAGTGAGTCAGGGTTTTGTTGTGGTTTTTCCACAGGATAATTATTACTCATTTACTCTTTTCATTTCTAAACCTTAGTGGGATAACACGGATTTCTTAGTCTTTGCTTTTTAAATTTAATGCCTGTTGAAATCCAGTAGTGTTGTTTACCTGTGCACTAGTGTGGGACCATGTCCTGGAGCAAGAGTAGTGCCTCAGAGCCCTTATCTCTGAGAAAATCAACTTTTCCTACCCCACGACCTACCTAAGATCCAAAGATCTAATGGATGGCATTGGGTCCTGTGTGTGTGTGTGTGTGTGTGTGTGTGTGTGTGTGTGTTAGAATATTGTCCTCTGAGCCAAACAACTACCATGTTGGAGCATTCATCTGTGGCCCTTGTTCCATGATTATCCTGGCTGGGTTTGATTACTGTTTGAATCCCTCACAGAGGGATGTGAGGGGCAGAAATCCTTCACCTGAGTATTCAGCTGTTTCCAACCACCAGTTTTAAGCTTTTCTGCTCTCACTGTGTGTGGTCTTGGTTAGGGGCTACCAGGCCAAGGAAGACTAGGGGTGAGCTCCATCTATGCAGCCATGGGTAAGCCCTTATCCGTGCTAGGTAAAGACATTCCAGTGTAGACCTTTCATGTAGGCACGCTTACACTGCTCTAAGCATCCCCTCGTCTATGCTTTGTAAAGAAGCCCAATAAACTCATTGGGTTCTGAGAATCAACTTTGATGAAACCCTGTTTTGGTTTCTTGGTGGGACATTAACAGGTGTAGATGCTGTTTAAGTCTCCTTCTGGGAGGGAATTTTAACACAAGTGTATGTATATGTGTGTGTGTGTCACACATAAGAGAGAGAGACACCCACACACAGAGAGACTATAATTGCACATTAAAAGTATTTTGAGCATGTGGATCTACTATCGAGTAATTTATCAAGTATAATATTGACAGACAATTTGGAATTTATTAAGTTTCCATACATTCTTGATAATTTTAATTAAGGTAACTTTCTCAGCTGTTCATAGGGAAAGAATAAGATCAGGGCTCAGAAGAAAGTTGTACACTGGTTTCCACACAGAGAAAAAAGGAGAGTTAAAGGGAATAGATCTGCATTCTTCAAGGTGACTGAGGCTTCCAAAGTGTGCTAGCCTTAGAGTAAGGTGGGATCTTTACATAGCAAGATTTGTGGGACACAAGTACAGTTGTTAGGATATTGTTCAGTTGGCAAGTTGATCAGCAGTAGTCCTGGCAGCAGCTGGCCTAACAGCAGCAGGGCTGGCAGCAGCTGCTTACACAGGTTGGTTTGCAGCAGGTGGTCCTGCAGTAGGTGGTTTCACAGCAGGTTGGGCAGCAGCTAGGCTGGCAGCAGCTGGCCTAACAGCAGCAGGGCTGGCACCAGCTGCTTACACAGGTTGGCTTACAGCAGGTGGTCCTGCAGCAGGTGGTTTCACAGCAGCTGGGCTGGCAGCAGGGCAGACAGCAGCTGCTCACACAGGTTGGCTTACAGCAGGTGGTCCTGCAGCAGGGGGTTTCACAGCAGCTGGGCTGGTAGCAGGGCTGGCAGCAGCTGCTCCCACAGGTTGGCTTACAGCAGGGGGGGGCACAGGAGCTGGGGGGGCAGCAGGGCTGGCAGCAGCTGCTCCCACAGGTTGGCTTACAGCAGGTGGTCCTGCAGCAGGGGGTTTCACAGCAGCTGGGTGGGCAGCAGGGCTGGCAGCAGCTGCTCACACAGGTTGGTTTGCAGCAGATGGTCCTGCAGCAGGTGGTTTCACAGCAGCTGGGTGGGCAGCAGGGCTGGCAGCAGCTGCTCACACAGGTTGGCTTACAGCAGGTGGTCCTGCAGCAGGTGGTTTCACAGCATCTGGGCTGGCAGCAGGGCTGGCAGCAGCTGCTCACACAGGTTGGCTTACAGCAGGTGGTCCTGCAGCAGGTGGTTTCACAGCAGCTGGGCTGACAGCAGGGCTGACAGCAGCTGGTCACACAGGTTGGTTTGCAGCAGGTGGTCCTGTAGCAGGTGGTTTCACAGCAGCTGGGCTGGCAGCAGCTGCTCACACAGGTTGGCTTACAGCAGGTGTTCCTGCAGCAGGTGGTCCTACAGCAGATAGGCTGGCAGCAAGGGGAACAGCAGCAGTTGGTCATGGTGTCAGGTGTGGTTGGAGGGTTCTCCTTGTTAATAGGTGAGTTTTCTACAGTATGGCAAGTTCTTGCATCTGGACCTTTTATATGTCAGGCCTTTAAGGTTTGAACCAATCAGCAGGGCTTTTCCTTGTTGTTGTTTATTCCATTTCCATATTCACTTTATGTTTCATAAGGAAGTGCTTCTCAATGCTATGCATCATTGGAAAGTTTATCCTGATTCTTCTTTCGTAATCACTCAGGACATCTTTCAATGATGGGAGACGGGGAAGGGTATTGCACTGCCAGTCTCACTGTATCCTGGGTCATCATCTGGTCATGTGGTAGCCCTTGCTGTCTTGGGAGAGTGAGAGTATCAGTTTTTCTACATTTTGTCTCTCCTTTGTAGGAAGATTTTTGGGCTACCAGCTAACAATAAATTATATAGAGACTTATTAATTATGAAATCTTGACCTTAGCTGAGGCTTGATTTGATCTAGGTCTTATAACTTAAATGAACCCATTTCTTTTAATCTACCTTATGTCACGTGGCTCATGGCTTTATCTCTCCTCCTGCATGTCCTTCTTTCTCTATGTCTGGCTGGCGACACTGCCTTCCTTCTTTCCTGAGACATCTCAGTCCCCAGATGTCCTGCCTAACCAGTTCCTGCCTAGCTATTGGTCATTCCAGTCTTCATTAAAGCAACCACAGTGAGACATCTTCAAACAGTGTAAAGGAATATTCTTCAGTAATCCTTAGCTTATGCAGCATCTTCATGATGGTGTTACATTCACAGTGATGGATTGGTTGGGTGTCTCTCCTATTACTCACTTTGTGTTAGCCCTGACATCTGATTCTTTACCACTCCTCCACCCGTGTGTGTCCATGTCACTTGAAATAAAGATATCTGACTTACTATGTTTCATATCATGCAACACTGGAGGACAAATGTGGAAATGGAAATTTAGTAGCATGAGAAGATATCAACGTTTGTGAGTGTGTGTGTGTGTGTGTGTGTGTGTGTGTGTGTGTGTGTGTGTGTGTCTATTTGTGCTGATTTCCCTTTTCCTGATGGGCTCACAATGGAGATCATGTTGAGATTTCGGCCATATAACAATTAAACACAAGCATACATTAGTAAGAAAGTTGCCTTCTGTTGGATAGCAGATTCTGTGTTCATAGTTTAGTTTTCTTTCTCTGTCTTTTGTCTTTTGCCTTTCACCTGCCTGACTGTCCTCTGAGTTACTACCTCATTTTGCAATCCCTTCTTTATTCTCTTCCTTTTTTGCTTTTCTTTTTGTGCAGTGATGGATTTAAGATAAGTTGAAATCGTTCCTAATGATGCAAATATTTTTAGAATTGGTAACGTCTACTATACATTTGGAAATGTAATAAATAATGTTGTGATGGAAAGAGTATCACAAGGTGAACATGTCTGTGCTGTTATTAATCAGGTAAGAAATAAAAATTCATCCGTTTATTAAAATCTCATCTTCTCATTGTTTTTCAAGGAGAGGCTATCACTCTATATCAACTTCACTTTTTAGCCAGTGATGCCACATTTGGCTTCTTTTCCCCTTTGCAAATGGAAAGTATAATTGGCTTCTCCATTTAGCTTATGGTTGTGAAATCTCTCACTGTAATGATCTATTCTTTCTTCTTCTCATTGGTCAGTATTCTCCCCTTGAATGAATTTGACACAATCTATGTGTGGGTTTTCCTTCTAGAAAAATGCAACTTGTTTGCAGCTTGAGTAACTTAAAATTGATGATGTGATAAAAGCTTTATGTGGCACTTTTGGGAAGAATATGTCTGTTGAGTGTGTAGTTATGTGGATAATTGATTACAGGATTCCCTATTGAAATGTTCATTCCTTCGTCTAATTTTAGCCATACTTCATGCATTGCAATAGAATTTACGTATTAAATAAAACCATAATAGAATGCTTTGATATTATTTTAAGCTAATAAAAAAGAACATAACTTCAGGTTATAGAGCCCTCCACACCTTCTGAACACATTTAAAAAATTGTCACTTCTAAATGGGTCGATGTGACAAATGTCTGACCTATAGTTGACTGAATTATTTTTAGGCATATAATATTCCTGCTAACATATGTATTCAAATTAAACATGTACTGTTTCTGAAATGTAGAAATGTGAATTTTTATCAGTATTTATTAATTTTACAAAATAATATATTGGATTGTGCCATGTTCCTGCTGTGCATAGCACACTCTGGTCACACTCACCCTCGAAATAATGTCCTCTGTTACAGTCACTGCTGCCTCACTCAGGTCTGTTTTTATCCCCTGTTACAATCCTGTCAGTTTTTCTTCAAATTTCCATATCCAAATTTTGCCATTCCAAGTCTTGTTTATTTCATCTAAAATGGCGACTCCATTTCCAACATTTGCATGCAAATCAAATTATTCCTTAAGGATGAATGAATTCAATCCTTTATATATTACACCTTTTATCTATTCATTAAATCCATTGATGGGCTCTTGCACTGATTTTATAACCATTTTAAAGTAATAGTCACTTGATGGTCATGGAGGCAGACATTTCTCCAGTGTATATCAACTCTGGTTTCTTTAGGTGCATACAGAGGGATAATGTAGCTGGATCATGGGGCAGTTTTATTTTTGTCTTTTGAGGAAACTCCAAACTGATTTCCATAGGTATTATGCCAATTAACATTCTGACCAACACTGAAAGGAGTTCTTTGTCTCCCTTTGTCCTAAGTGTTTATTATTTATTTCCTTGATGGCAGCCTCCTGACTGGGGTGAGATGGAATTTCATAGGCAGTTCTGATTTGCATTTCTCTGATGACTACTTCTATTAATTATTTTTTCATGAATTTGCTAGACATTTGCCTCTTTTTTGAAATATTCAGACTATTGCTCCACTTATGGATTGGGTTACTTTCAATTTTGTTGTTAATTTTTTTATCTCATTGTATATTCTGCATGTGAATCCTCTGTATGAGTATCTGGGAATGGGTTTTCTTCAGTTTTTCCATTTTGTTTGATGTCTTTTGCTCTGTTCATTGTAATAATAGCAGCACAAGTATTTAGCTATGCATCACCACATTGTTATTCTTCGTGATTTCTCTGTGAGTTCAAGCCCAGCATGGTTTACAGAGAGAGCTCCAGGACAATCAGGGCTATATAGATTCTGAGGTGTTTTTGTTGTTGTTGTTGTTGTTTTTGTTGTTTGTTTCTTTTTAAGGAGAATAATAGCACAAGTATCTAGAGAGCCATTTTGTGCAAAGATAACTTGTGGAAAGGAGTAACTCAGAGATGAGGAGAGCAGGCACTGGTGCAGTTCATGGGAGGGAATGCCATTTCTCTAAAGATAGCTGTAAGATGAAGCACAGAAGTTTAGAGCCAGGGAGCTACACTTAGCCAGTGATTTGCCCAGTACAGCACAACAGAGGGACATGGTTCCATCCTTGTCTCTTTTATTTTGTTCTGAAAGCATGGCATATCACCAAACACTGGCATATTATTTGAGGTTATAATAATTGCAGTATTAGAATGTTGTCTATCTAGTATCAGGAGAAGAAGATACCGAAAGATGTTGACAAATATGTGTAGAAATTGGGGATCTTCAAACTTTAAAAAATTTGAAATTATTTATTGAATATATTTTATGTATATGAGTGTTTTTTTTGCCTGCATGTATGTATGTCCACCACATCTCCAGATGTCAGAAGAGGACATTATATGCCTTGGAAGTAGAATAACAGATGATTGTGAGTTGCTCTGTGGAGGTTGGGAACTGAACCCAAGTGCTCCTCAAGAGCAATGTGCTCTCTTCACCATGAGACCATCTCTCTAGCACTAGAGACTGGGATGCTTATACAGCATGAAGAAGAATAGCAGGAGTGCCAAACATTACAGACTTACCCCCAAAATAAACAACAGTACTTTATTTTCAGAAGCCGTATCTCAGGATATTTGTCCAAGTTAATTGAAATCAGAATCTTGTCTTAATTTAAATTTTTTATTTTCAATTATGCCCATTTACCAAATATAGTAAAGGAATCTACAAAGTCCCTTCAAGTATATCATGTACTCATGAACTTTGATATTGGCTCTTCCACAGCCCCTCTCTGACTAGTCATCCTCTTGCTCACAGTCTATAGGACTTGAAGTTTCTGTGTAAAATCTTGGGTTTACAAATGAGGGCACATGGTTGATAGTTTGCCTTTTTGAGTTTGCTTTATTGCACTCCCTATGACAATCTCAAATGCAGCTGTTTTCTGGCAAATGGCACTGTTGTCCTCAGAACACTGAAAGGATATTAACACTCTCATGTTTATTCTAATCCCATTAACAATTGAAAGATGTGACTGATATTTAGAAGCCCATTGACAAGTAAAAAGATAAAGAAAACATGACAGGAATGTCACTGTTTTATATGATTTCACCAAATGCTGTTTGTAAAAGTCAGACAGCAAAGGAAAGAACAAACTGTTGGTTTATGGGCAGTGAGTTTGGAGGAACTAGGAAGATGGTGATCATTAAGTATTAAATTTCAATTATTCTAGATCTATAGCCCTTCCCTGGATCTTCTGGTCAACACCTTGCTTAGTGTTACTAAGGCATGGGTAACATACTGAACATTTAAAAATCTATTGATTATGTAGATTTTCCAATTAAGTGAATTATCAAAACAAAATATCAGACAATTTGATTGATGGTAGCACATAGTTTATTAAAATTGCTGGCCTCCATGAACACAGCTCATAAGTGAGTAGAAAGAAGAAAACAGTACACAAAAATATGGGGGTAACTCAGAAGGAAATACAGATGAGAAGATAACCTTTTAAATCAAGTTTCATTTTGGGGGTAGTGTTTTTTTTTTTAGTTATTTGGTGAGCGATAAAAAGACCTTGGCTGAGAATTTAAGCCTCTACCAGACCTTGACATCAGTCCCCATGAAGATGGCACAAGGTTCATAATCTCTGGAGATGAGGAGAGTGAGGGCGAGGGACTCCATCCTCCCTCAAAGCATTTCCTACACCTAAGTAAGAATTTACATCATGGAGTGTCCTGGTGAGAACATGAAGGTATTCAGCAAAGGGTAAGGTGTGGCTTTGTGCAGCTAGGGCATGTCAGCTCTCCCAGAGCACAGCTGTGCAGATGTTCCTTGGGGTCAGCAGCAGCAGGACTGGCAGCAGTGAGTGCTGCAGCTGATGGTCACACAGGTTGGTTTGAGAGAGGTGGTCTCAGAGCTGCTGGTTTCACAGCAGGTTGGTTGGCAGCACAGCTGGAAGAAGCAGGGCTGGCAGCAGGTGGGCACACAACAGCAGGGCTGGCAGCAGGGTGGGCTGCAACCAATGGTCACACAATTAGATTTGCTACTGGTTGTCTTGCAGCAGCTGGTTTCACAGCAAGTTGGCTGACAGCAGATCTTTATGGAGCTGGGCTGGCAGCAGGGCTGGCAGCAGGTGGGCACACAACAGCAGGGCTGGCAGCAGGGTGGGCTGCAACCAATGGTCACACAATTAGATTTGCTACTGGTTGTCTTGCAGCAGCTGGTTTCACAGCAAGTTGGCTGACAGCAGATCTTTATGGAGCTGGGCTGGCAGCAGGGCTGGCAGCAGGTGGGCACACAGCAGCAGGGCTGGCAACAGGGTGTGCTGCAGCAGATGCTGACACCAGTTGGCTTGCAACAGGTAGTCTTGCAACAGGTGCTTTCACAGCAGGTTGGTGGGCAGCAGGGCTGGGACTCAGTGCTGTCAGTTTTGTTGTTGCTACTGCTGGACTGGCAGCAGGATTTGCTGCAGCAACTTGGGGGACAGCAAGGCTGGCAGCAGTTGGACTCAGGGCAGCAGGGTGGGCAGCAGGTGGTCCAGCAGTAGGTGGTCTTGCAGCAGCCAGGCTGACAGCAAGGTGGGCAGCAAGAGAGGGTCATGGTGTCTGGTGTGGAGGGTGATACTCTGTTCACAGGTGAGTTTTGATGAGTTTTCAACTGTGTAGCAAGATCTTCCAGTCAGCGCCTTTTATACCATGGGCCCCCAAGGTGTGGGCCAATCAGAAAGACTTTACCTCTTTGTTTACCATTTGCATATTTAATTTATGTTGATGAAGAAGGAAATTCTCACAGAATGCTCTGAATCATTTGAAAGCCTTCATTTCTTATTTGGGGACAGCTGACTTGAACTCTTTCCAATAACTCAAGTGATCATCCCATCAGCTTTGATGTAACTCTGATTGTCATCTGGTCCTTTGGTGGTACTTGTGCCTACGGGAAGGTCAAGATTAGTTTGTTCTTAGAACTCTCTTCTCTTATCTGTACATAGAGTTATAAATGTCTCTGGGTATGAGTGGGCTGTATTAATAATGATGGACTCAACACCTAATTACCCATCTCTGCATAAAAAGTCCAAATCCAAACTGTCCCAGGGATGTGTCAGTCTGTAAAAGTTCCTGTACCTGTGAATCTGGGGCACATTAAAGGAGACTTGAGATAAGGATTTCTGGAACAATGTTTTTCATAGGAGACTAGAACCAGGGCTGATGGGAATAAAAAGAAGCAGCTCTGTAGGAATAATCTGACACCCGTGAAAATTGGGTGACCACCTGTGATGACTGTCTGTTGTTGTGGAGATTGGGTGACCATCAGACCTGACATTTACTATTGGGGAGACCTGGGTCACCATCTTTCCTGACTGATTGGATGTTCCTGGGGAGATGTGAGTGTAGCTTCTGTCCTAGGGCCCATGAGCTCCCCAGCTATGAGTCTGAACAAGTATTGTCGTTCCTATCAAGGCTGAATTTCTTCTTTTGAAAGGACATTCACCCTGTCAAACCTGGTTGGTTACTACCATACTACTCATGCCATCATTGCACCAATGTCTGCATCTTTCCAGACATGTTGGTATTGCATATTGTGAGATTTGTAGCTGGACTTTTCTTTCCTTGCAGCTTGAATCAACCTGATGGTACCGTGAAGCTGACTAACAGGAGGTGAACACCCAGTTCAACACTGGCTTCTTTTCCTTATGTCTTATAACCAGATTATATGATGTCTTCAGCTGTAAGGTCTCACTCACTGGGTGTGGGTGGCAAACAAAAGGAATGCTAATAGTGTGCATTGTTTTGGAGACCTGTGGGCTTCTTATAGTGTGGTAACCCATACCTGGCACTTGGTTTTTTGTTTAGTTGTCTACAGCTTCTGGGAGCTGCACTATCCATACAGGGTACTTCCATTCAGACCCTTCTTGTTATACTTGTCACCTACCTTACAAAATAGTAGGTCTCTACACAGCTTTTAACTCACCATTAGTTTTGTTCAACCACTCCCTCATCCCTGTTCATTTTTCCATGTCCCCACTCCTATCTCCCCTCAGACATTTCTACCATAATGATCCACCTCTGGATTTTTTATATATTTTTATTTTTATAATTACAAAGTAACTTCATTCACGTGTCAATCCCAGTTTTCTCTCCCTCCCCTTCCTCCCACCCCCTATCCCAACCTCTATCTGCTCCCCAAGGATCATGAGGTCTTCCATGGGGATCTTCAAAGTCTGTCTTATCATATGGAGCAGAGACTAGACCCTCTGCCATGTGTCTAGGCTGAGAGAGGATGTGGAGTGGGCTCCCATACTAGGGATAAATACTGATCCACTCCCAGAGGCCCCATAGTTTTCCCAGACTTCCAAACTGACATCCTTGTTCAGGGGGTCTGGATCAGTCATATGCTGGTTTCTCAGCTATCAGACTGGGGACCATGTGCAACCCCTTGTTCAGGTCAGCTGTACCTGTGGGTTTCTCCAGCCTGGTCTTGACACCTTTGTCCAATTTCCTCCCCCTCAGCAACTGTATTCCAGAGTTCAGTTCAGTGTTTAGCTGTGAGTGTCTAATTCTGCTTCCATCAGCTACTGGACAAAGGCTCTAAGATAGCATATAAGTACTCATGAATCTCATTATCGGGGAAGAGCATGCAAGGTAGCCTCTCAACTAATGCTTTGATTGTTAGTAAGAGTCAAACTTGTAGATCCCCCAAACAATATGACAGACTTTGAAGCTCCTTTGTGGAGGGCCTCACTATTCCTGGGAATGATTGGGGGGGGATGGATTGGGATGGGTTGGGTGAGGAACTTGGGAGGATGGGAGGGCGAGGGAATGGGGGTATGGATATGTAAATATGAGTAATTAAAAATAAAAAATAATTAAAAAAGACTCCATGTCTGGTACTGTAAACCCATTCAACCATCCATGCCTGGGAAGGTCACAGATTGGATGGAGGGATTTACACTTGCTATTGTTAAATTATTTGACATATCATCAAAATATCTCTTAAATATCTATGCTCATACCTTAGACAAAGCTCCTTTCTCAGTCTTAATCAGAGAGGCATCTCTTCAGCCATTGGTAGTGATGCACAGTCACATGGCTGCCCAAGATGCTGATAATACATAATAATTGATGGCCCAGCATAAGAAATTTACTTATATGACCCCCTGTAAGGCTCAGATTCCATTGAAAAAAGAATTGTAAAAAATGTAAGAGCTAGAAGATAGGGAGAAAGGCTATAACATTTATTCTGTAAGTCACAAGACAGACATTTGTTTTATAAACTCACAGTAGCTGTAATTGTTTTATTAAGCCTGAACAAGATTGGCCTTGTCAATAATCATTGATGGATGGGGGGGCTCATGAGGTCCAATGATTTATTGCTGAACTACTGGATATTGATAAATTCTGGGAGAAGAATTGTCATTGTTTTTAGTAATGTGCCCACTGCTGAGCACATCAGGCATCAATGGGCAGCTCCAAACCCATGGTCACATGGACAGCCCAGGTTAAACTCTTTGAGTCACACAGGAAAACAAATAAAAATGAGTATGGAAAGAGATTTATGTAAAGGGGATGGGTTGACATCGGGTTTTGTGAAATAAGGGAATGTGAGGGGTGACATTTATCAGTATGCATATTATACATGTTTGAAATTGCCAGAGAGCAAATTTAATCAATATTAGTAAAAATAAATAATAAAATAGCTCACAAAGTTAAAAAAAGGTGACACAGCTATTCTGTTAAAGTCCTGTGCCTAAAATTCACAGCAGCACACTAATGTACTGCATGTGTTAATGTTTCTTCTGAGCACTTACATGCTATAGCTTTCTGCCTTTTGTCTCTTTTCATTTATAGAGGTTTTAAGGTTAAAAAAGAATGTTCCATCTAAACTCACTGAAGAAAACTATAGAAGTGTGCTTGCTAACTAATACAGCCAAGCCGAAGCTCCCAGATTATAACCAGATCTCAACCACAAAGAGGCACATTCCCTGGTGTTTGGCAATACAGCTAGCTAGTCTACTGACGGACATTCAGTCTCACAAAGACATCATAGAAAAAGCACTAGAAGTTGCTGAAGAATACTACTTGGGGGCTGGGGAGATGGCTCAGATGGGGAGTTGTTAAGGCCACTGGATGCTCTTTCCAGGAGCCAAAATTCAGTTCTCAGCTCCCATACAGTGGCTCACAACTGTGTGTAACTCCACGTCCAGGGAATCAATGCCCTCTTTTGGCCTTGATGGGCACTGCACTCATATGGTGTACATAATACTTGCAGGCATACATTCATACATTTTATACTTTCATAAATCTTTGACTTGCATGGCAGATAAACCCATAACTGGTTTTAAAATATAGGGATGAAATTAAAGGGTTTCTATTCACTGACACCAAACCAGAGTTTCTTACTCCTCTGAGAATCTTGGAAAAAGCTGAGACAGTACTGAGCCATGGACCTCAGTGTTGGTCTGAGAACAGGAAGGGGAAGTGACCGGTCAAGCAAGTTTTTATATAAATAAAGGATGAGATGATCTTCTGTGGGTCAGGGGAGACAGAGGAGGATTTTAGATAATGATAAGAGCATCTTCCTTGACTCTTCAGGGTGGGAATCCAGTACTGGTGGACTTCCTGTTCCTCTAACTCTCCTCTGATCCGGCTTTAGTCTGTTTTGAAAGCTGCCTGGCAGGAGATGACACTGTCAGGCAGGAATTCACTAGGAAGTTGTATAATGGGATGGTAATGAATCTTGGGATGGACTTCAGGTCAGCATAGTGTTTTTAGAGTCTTTTATTCAGCTTCCTACTGTATCCTGTTTCCTAAGAATAGCCAAGATCCTGGATGTCTTCATGGCTGTCTAGAAAAGTGTTATGTATGAAACCTGAATTCTGGGTTCCAGAGAAAGACATTTTCAGCATTTTAAATAGTTTTAAATTCCAGCAAAATTTTACAGTAAGTCACAAATCTTGCCATGAAAACGGCATCACCAGCTGCCCAAGTGAGAAATCAAGAGTTCAGAATTCCCTTTAAGGTTACAACTTAAAAGTTGAACAATTATCCATCTGTGAATCACCACATCTTTAATTTCTGTACTTGGGATTCATAGGCATGCAGACTTGTGTGATTTCAAGGCCACTGTGGTTTACAGAGAGAGCTCCATGTCAGGCAGGGCTATATATATTCTGTTTGTAGTTGTTTGTTTGTTTAAAGAGAATAACAACACAATAGCTTCTGGGCATTATATGCAAAGGCAACCTTTGGAAAGGAGTAACTCAGAGATCATGAGATCAGGCACTGGTGCAGTTGATGGGAAGGAATGCCATAATTTCGAGGTGAAGCATAGAAGCTTAAGTCCAGGGACATACATTTAGACCTTGCATTTCCCAGGGCAGTGTAGCAGAACAAGAGTGTCCCTTCATTGTGTCCTTTATTTTGTCCTGAAGGCATGAGATATTGCCAAACCCTGGCACATTATTTGAGTGTGTAGCAACTGCAGTGTTGGATTGATGTCTGTCTCATGTCAGAAAAGAAGAGATCAAAAGATGTTGACAAGTGTGTGGAGAAATGGGTTCTTAAAACTTTAAAAAGTTAAAATAATTTATATATTATTTTTAT